GATTTTTAGCCTAAGAAACTATAATGTCTAAAATGAACCACAAACGGCGCCGGTGGTGTAGTGGTAAGCGTGATTACCTCTCACCCCAGCAGGCCTGGGTTCAATCCCAGTCGGCGCCGCCGGGATGTTCTGAGGCATAACATCTCTGATCACGCCTTCCTTCGGATGGGAAGTAAAGCCGTTGGTACCCGGTTCATGAGTTGATGGGTCGATAGGTAGGGTCCAGGCGTGGGAGCTGCCTTCCTGACACGTCGGTAGCATTGGTGCTCAGCACGGAAAACAAGATCGACGGAAAAAAACAAACCAAAGGAAAAAAAATGAACCACATGCCCCAACCAACCCCTAGAACGGCTCCCATACACTCTCAGTGCTGAATCGTGAGTTCCACCTTTTTCCATATCATTGCATGCAAAATAATAACCCAATGTAGGTCAATTTAATATGCCTAATTGAATTAGTTGTAATGATAGTGTTAACAGTAATGACAGTATAATATAGTAATTTAATAAAATGAATATTTACCTGTTAGTAATGATAGCAAAAAATCATACCATAACATGTCTAACTTCCCGAGCAAAGTCGGTTAACAAAATGAAAGCAAATCGATATTAAAGATTGCAGTTCCTATCATAATGAATACTCATTTTGATTTCAATTGTCACGACATTAGTCTGATATCATATTGTGCTTTCATTATGCAGTCAAGACATTTTAAATGAAAGCAACTTAACTTGAAGTTCTGCTGTTAACGTTTTGTTTAAAATTTAAGTTAAGCTTATCTGTCGTTGAACTAACGATTATTGTTTAATTGTTTTGTTTAACATATTTTAGGTCATTCGTAACCAACCCGAGGTGACATTTGAGCTCAAGTCTTTCAGCGTGAGAAGCTTGGATGCTAACCATTTACACCAGGCCCGTATTCAGTCAAACATTTTGAATGCAAAATCAGTAATCAAATTGATTTCATTGAAAGCAGGATTAGTTTTCCGTTTGATTCAACAGTGTAAAATTTTGCTCTCATTTTTGATGTGTTAACCGTTAAGTCAACCAAAATGAGATCAAATGGAGTATTCAAAGTAAGTTACATCATAACAGCAAATTCTGATTTCAATTTGATCTCTAACTTTGCTCGGGTTACTATCCACATTTGTTGACTAATATCTGTTCAATGTGATTTTTAATTTTAGACAATAAGTTGGTCAAATAATTACCTAAAAATGCTACCTAAATCGTTCACAACCACAGCCGGGCCACTGATGAAACCCAAAACTACAACCCCGAAAAACGTATCGGTATTTTCGAAGGCAAACACTCCGCAACCAATTCTTGCTACTGATTCTGTTCAATTGTTAGGTATCCAAATTATAGTCATTCGTAAATTTATTATTGAATATATGGATGAATTATCTATTATTGAATAACTATTATTTACCATAATTACATGAAATAAATAAAATATAAACTACAAACAGAACGTGACTCAAAAAGATATTATCACAAATGCAACTTTTAAGTTTTTCTTCCGTTATATTAAATTCACTTTGTAATCACTTTGAAAGTTGTCGTGAATCTGATCACGGCTCATTTATTGCTTCGGCATTTATATACTTATCGATCAAGCATTACAATACAGTGTGTACATGTGTTTGCGTTTTTCATATCGCGTTTTGATATTTGATCGATCAAGGGGGTTCGGACCTAATCGTCGAAAAGGAAGATAAACCGAAATGCGAATTTTACAATACCTTCCCCCATAAGGTTCAAAATCTGATACGGAATTATTAGAAATCTGTTGTAATTAATAACGAGTTAATATTACTAGCTTAGATTCTTATCTTCGAATGAATCACTTAAATTCAGAATTGTTAATCCAACTTATAATTATAATAAACGAAGCTATTCTTCTTTAATCCACAACATTCCTAAAGTAAAATTCGATTATTTGTAATACACAAACATTTCATCATTATTCTGTTTCCGGATACGGGCCGACCTTCTCACTTCGTTATCAACCTCGTTATCAGTATCCCGCGGACAATATGTAGCTTTTCGTTTCGATTTCGGAGGATCCGAAGGTTAATGCTTGAGGATGAATTTCGCTCCGTGCTGGGGGTGGTTGTAACTGTGAAGGCGGAAACCCCCGAAAAGCACACTCATCCTCGGATTTAGCTCGCATCTTCTTCGTTCCTCCGTTTCCTCTACCGAACGATGCGCCACCTTGCGCCGACGATCATCTTGACTGTCCAGATTAATCTGCCCCTGTGAGCCGAGATCAGATGGCTCCCCAACGAAATCTTTTGACTCGCTCTCAGTGTCGTATTCAACTCTCAACCGCTTGAAGTAGTCGTGAACGTTTTCCGTGTCCGAATTGTCTTCGACAAAATTTGCCGCGTTCTTCTGGCTATTTTTTAATCGGAAACAATTTTTTTGCACATGTCCTTTCTGCTTTCAAAAATCTATATATATAAAAATGAATTTGTGTCTGTCTGTCTGTCTGACCCTTATAGACTCGGAAACTACTGAACCGATTGGCGTGAAAATTTGTATACAGGGGTTTTTGGGGCCGTGGAAGGTTCTTATGATGGTTCGAGACCCCTCCCCCTTCTGTAAGGGGGAGCTCCCATATAAATGAAACAGAAATTTCTGCATAACTCGAGAACTAATCAAGCAAATGGAACCAAATTAGGCATGTGGGGGTATAAGGAGATAATCATAGGGGGTAGCCCCATAGATAATAGGGGGGGGGGGCTACGTACAATAAAGCATGCTTTTTTTTAAATCGGCGCATAAACTCAAGCTAATATTGAATCCCGAGCAAGACCGGGCACACTCAGCTAGTAAACTTATAAAAAGAAGTATGGAAATTTCTACGAAATGGTACATTCTGGGGATTGTTTTTCTCTGGAGAATGGTGCATTCTGGCCAGCAGTATTCTGGGGAACGGCTTTCAGGGTAATGTGATACAATCCACACAAAATCAAAATTGTCGATTTTGGAGCAAAACTCTCGTGACGTAACGAAGGGGAAACAGCTTTATTTATCGGATTATAGATATCGATGCCCAGCAGTAGCGACAAGACGTGTCCTTCTTGAGATTCCGCTTATTGCAGTTTCTGCATAGCCAGCTAGTATCATATTGGCGCAGTTTACTGACAACCGCCTTTCTGTTTTCGCAAGAGAAGCACTTCCTCCGAGACCTAACATTGACATTGGCACATTGCAGACAAACCCAATATTCTGAGATACTTAATCGACGGGGCATTCCTAGAATAGCAGCACGAAATGGAGATTCAACTGTAATGAATTTGTCTTTACTGGTGGCGTCCAGGTAGGATGTCGGTGAAGTATGTCCAGATTGTTCTGAAGTTTGCGTAGCAACCGATATGCACATCTTATCAATCCTTTCAAGCCGCATTATGGTCTATAGAAAAAGGGATATCAAGAACAAAGCCGTTACCAGAATTCGTGGTATATGTAACATTTACTTATGTTTCGCAAAAAAGGGGACTATCGTTGGCAAACCTTGTAAATCAGTAGGAAGGACTGGTGATATTCAAAAAATTAAGACGTTGATAGTTTTAAGATACATACATTTGGATCGTTTAATAAAAACGCCTATACATCGGATTAACCTTGCTTATCAGAATAATTGTAGTAATTCAACACAAGATTACATGAAACGGTAGTTCAAGATACTGACTCACTGACAATAGGACTCCTAAAATAATCACTGTACCAAGCCCAAATAGTTTGAACTTTTCTACTTCTCTAATCGTCAAACTTGATCGAATTAACCGACTTATCGATAAACCCTCCACGATAACCACTGCGTTTCTTCTTCGTTTTTTCGTGACGGAATGATTTACCACGTGTGTGTTTCAGTATATCATTAGCCCGTTCACCAAACGAACCACGTGCGTTTTTCTGTTAAATTTGGGAAAACATAAAAATCAATTAATCAATCCTACTCGTAGCGAATTTAATTTCCAACGAACGATTTATTGATCCCCTATGCAAGATCTTACTGAATAGGCTTCAACTCGAGGCATTTGTAGCATTTCAAATGTCTAGCAAAATTGTTTCGCTTGCACTTTGAGCACTTCCAATCACCGGGTAGCGTTGTTTTTATTCGTCGTGATTTGGATGGTGGTGCTTCGTTTGAAATTTCACCCGTAGCAGACTTGAAGGGAGCATCCTTTTGGCACGCCGAGCACTTAAATTTACGAGTACTATTGCTATGCTCACAGGCCGTGCATTTCCAATCTTTTCTCCGTCCTTTGCATTGTAGGCAACGAAGTCTATGGCTGAAATTGAGCATACTACAACCCGCGCAAGCCCATTGCTCTTGTTTGAATTTCGGATTGTTTTTTGTACATTTGTGACACTCCTTTCTGCTGGCGAAGTTAAAGGTTTCGCACGATGCACACTCCCAATATCCTCGCTGCAGAATGTTCGAATAATCAGGATTATCTTTCTGGCATTGGACACATTTTTTGTTCCAGTTGAAGTTTAAAAAATCACAGTCCAAGCAAGCCCAACTTTCTTTCAGCGATCTTTTCGAAGAAGCCAATGCCTTAATGGTTTTGCATTGGGAGCAGGTTCTCCGATCCACCTTATTCAAAGTCTGACAGATCAAACATTTCCAATCTGCATTCGGATGAGCCTCGTCTTCGTTATATTCAACATCTCTAGCGAAACTGATGAATTTTTGCTGGAAAATTGCCAAAACGAGACAAAAGATGTTTAGTAATCCCATACACAAAAAAAAGAACAACTAAATAACACCAATGGTAAGTGTCCTGATTCTTGGCCAGGGATGCTAGTGTCACTGTTAATCCCCGAAGGTTTTTTTAATTGTTCGTTTTTTTGTAAGAAATTACTGGCAGACATCTTCGTAAGCAATTTTCCAACAATAATCCGACAAGCACGAGAGGGGATCAATTAATCGCTGATTGTTATGACAGCATACCTTGCAAATGGTCAAGAATCAGTACACTTACCTTGGCATCGAAGGAGTTGTCCTGTAATCGGTCATCGATGGAGACATCCTCTTCCTTGATTCGACGGAATCGATTAACTCCACGCTTTTCGTCACTGTTAGTGAACTTTTTAATGCTACTGCCATTTCCGTTAGCTTCGAATGACTGTTCGTTCTTGTTGTTTGGTGTAGAGAACTGGAAAAGTTAGCGCAATCGTTAGGATGTTAATGATCTGGTGTACCTACACACACTGGAGAGGGACAATACGCTAGTACCCACAAATTTCCCAAAATCCATTTTTGACTCTCGAATTCTCAGATGTAAACCTTATTTCTAGAATTATTAACTTATGATCCTCAAGGCAATATTTTTTGCACACTGTTATTCTCCTTGTTCTTGCAACGACGTGATGCTGTTACTCGCACCTGGATCTAGACTCGCGTATGCCGATGATCTCTCAATTTAAACTTCGTAGTGCGAACTACTAAATCTTTTCGTTGATTTGTGCAACCGTAATAAGCTAACTGTCAGCTCCCCAAGGAGCGTGTTTATGTCTTACTACTGTATCAAACAGCCGATCATGTTCTATAATTCTATCAATGGCTGATCTACGTTGTGGTTTGATAATTGATAAAAGACGATGATGATTTGGGCCGTCCTGCCATGGCGGAGGCAGATGATACTCTAGTATGTTTATTGTATTTGTATTTCAGAGAGAGCATATGGTACAGAGAAACAGTAACAGTATGAACAAGTGATGGCATCTAACGATTGTTAAGATTGATTTATTCTACTTATAGTCAAGCCGGTAAATGTCGCTTGCATTGGCATTGCTCTTCAAATAATCGATCGGTTCGGCGACTTTAAAGTGCCTTTTGGCCACAAACTAACGTTTGACATTCTCCGTCTTGCATTGATCGCTAAAGCCAACCCTCATGTCAACAATTTCAAGAGATTTCTCGGTTCCGTACTACTTTAAAGCTGCTCATTTGAGCGGCCATTTCTGGAAAACGCTACCTTGGTATGGTTTCCATGTCAACTAACGTGGAATTTGAGGATCGACCTTCGACCGCTGCAGACTGCTGAGTTTGGACAGGATATTATCAAACAGATCGTTTCTACAACTTTGCTTCCATCGTACTGTATTCGATGCCGATAATGGCTATGGTTCGTAATTAAACGACTGTGAAAAAATCGCACTAGTTTGGAGAATCATCTTCCCGCTTTGTAAACCCGGTTGAAAAATTCTCGCTTTTTCAAATTGTTTAGTTTTAAATTTTAGTCTATGAAGACAATTTGTCAGATGAATGTGTACAATAAAATACGAATGCAAACGTCCAAAGAAGGGCCCTATTATGTATGTCGAGTCGAGCGTAAATTCTGATCACCGGTCTAATTTTCTATTATTTCTGTGACGCCACAATAGACCAGTGACCAGAAGTGACGCTCGACTCGACTTACATAACAGGGCCCTAGCATTCGAATTCTGGTTTTAAGAAGTTTACCGGAGTGCGGGATAAATAACTACTCATGCTTAAAGGAAATATTCATTATATTTGGACTAGTAGCATTCTTACTGGACATAGTAGCAGTCTTACTGGTTACAACACTCGGTCGAACTCCAGACGAAGTTGAATCTATAACCGCACTACCGTTCATATACTGACGACAACGCTCTGATGAGACAACGAAAACTCACCCCCAACCTTCTCCCCTGATCCCATTCCTCGACAATGTACCCCTCTAAACTAGGCCCGGGTAAGCCATGACTATTCTGCCCAGCTCCTACTAGAGGTAGAATCAAGTAGATTTTGTTACGAAACAATAAATTAATCGGCTCCGTGAAGCTAACGCGATTGAACCTTTCAAATAAACGAACTAGATAAAAAAAAATAAACTACAGTCCTAATCGACTATTATCTCGGTTGGGCTCTCCAAGTAATATACAATACTGACAGACGGAGTCGAGCTATGGTGCTCACTAGGTCACTGTAGCTTTACAGCTCATATTATGATTGTAAAATAGAGAACGTGTAAATACGAGACAAAAAAATTAGTTTTGCTGAGTCATTACCAAGTCTGACATCTCTTAATTCATCAAATTCCCAGAAATCACTACTAGGAAAAATGCGATCGGTCTGAATGGATCTTTAGGTCATCTAGTGCAGTTGTCCCACAGCTGTCTACAGCAGCAGTCGATTTTTTATTTCGGTGTGAACCACGCGATAGCCTGTTTTCGAGACTCGCTATTATATAGTTGCTCTTTGTTCGTTGCTAGCAGTTCGGTACCTTTTGTTGCTACGGTGCAAGATGTGTGAAGTAAAAAACACCATCAAGTTTAGCTTCAGCCACCATGATGCTAAACCAAACATCGGAGAGATTGTAAATTTCGCCAAAGCACTCGACGCGGATCCGGCTGAAATGGAAGCTGTTTATCGCATTGGTGAGGAAAGGGGAGTCTTCATAAAGTTCAAATCAGAGGAAGCGATGCTCCATGCTCTGACATACAATTCGGAGGATTTAATCTTCCATTATGCGAATGGAACGACGGCAAAGGTACGCATGTCGCATGCTGGTGAATACATTCAATATGTGCGTGTGTATGACTTGCCACCAGAGGTACCCGACAACGAGCTGGATAAAGTGCTGGGGAAATATGGGAAAATTAAACGCATCATCCGGGAGAAATTTCCAACTGATCTGTGTTTTGAGGTATATACAGGGATACGCGGTGTATATATGGATGTGAAGAAGGAAATCCCCACGTCATTACATTTCTTCAATCGCAAAGGAAATATTTTTTATGATGGCAACAAAGATAAATGTTTTCTGTGCAAGGCGGACGGACACCGGAAGCTTTCCTGTCCCAAGCGGAAGGCTCGGAAGGAACCGGAGAAGCAACTGAAGGAAAAAGGAAAGCAAAGTGAAAGAAAACAAAACAGCAGCAGTACGTATGCTGGTGTAGTGGTGGAAGGTGCGTCGCTAGTCATTAGCGACCAGGAAACGGACACGAGGTTGGAGATGCTGAATGAAAATAACGAAATGGACGTGACGACCCCGACGACCGACGAGAGTAGCGGAGAGCATGCAACGGGAAACGACGTTCAGAAGCAGCAGCAGTGATCACGATTCGGGTTGAATGAAAATGAGGAACAAATTCGGGAAAGAAAGAAGTTGCGTGCACGGGAGAAGATCGCTTTGTCGCCGCTTCGATCGCCACCCAGAAAAATCCTATGATAAAATGCATTTTTATATATATATATTTTTTTTGTATTTTGAGTACCAAAATTGGTATTCCATGTACTCGGCTCCGCTAAGTTATTTTTATAACATTTGAGCCTTCCAGATAAACAAAATGAAAAAAAAAAGGTCATCTAGTGAAAAATGGGAGGCAGAACATAGATTTCTTTTAAGAACTTTACGCACAACGAGGTAAAAACTGCAAGATTTGTAATTTTTACGGCGGTTCAAAGACATGCAAGCTTCACGAAAAGTCAGGTGAAGCCAGGAAGCCAAAGTAGTTCAGCAAATTTTATAGAATATTTCTGTCAAATTCTTAGAAGCTCGTGAATTTTAGGATTTTTTTTTAATCTAAGAAAATTGGCAAACTTCAAAGGAAATAATATACGAATATAAAAGACATTCTGGAACATGAGCATGATTGACCGCCCACGGTTGCTACTCCGTTATTGTCAGATCAGCTGTAATTACACAAAGAACCAATAGACGATGCTTGGGAGTAGCAATCATCCTCAATGTGTAAAAACTGGTGATCTCAAACTAGGCAATACCAGCGCCGGGCGCGCCCGAACGCAGGTCAAGGAAGGAATGGGTAGGAATGTGTTGACGTGACACTTGCTTTGATGGAAGCCGTGAAATCCTCTGCACTTCCACGAGGAATCACTGGGATGTTGAATAAGAGGGTAGGGTTATACGAATTTAAAAGACATTCTGGAACATCAGAGAAATTCATCGAATTTCGGAGAAATCCAAAGAAAATTTACTTCAGACAAATCTGTGGAATTAAAATAACTTCGAAGAACTTCAAAAAACGATCTTATAAATTTAGAAAATAAGTAAAAACTTCACTACAAATTTCGAAGCACTTCTGTGAGCTTCAGAAAAAATTAACAACATTCAGAGAAGTGCACAAAGCCACACAAAATTTCTTTAAATTTTTAGAAAGGTCTGCTCATATGTGAATTTATCTAAAATTGAAGAAGCTTCTCAAAGTTTTGCATATCATCTCTGACCATCATTGCATATTTCTGATATGTGTTCGGAAAAAAACTCAAAAACTCAAATCTCATGCATGAGTTTGCCTTCAAAAATTCAACGTCGCAAAAATCACCAATGAGTTTTCAGGTTCAAACATTGAATTCTTATATTATGTCAGCGCTATTAATTGTTATTACTATTGTTAGTGCATCAGGGATTGGAGAATTAACACAACATACTTTTTTTTTACTAGTTCGTTTATTTACTAGGCTCAGTCGTGTGTGACACTTTGCGGAGCCAAAAATCCGTATTTTTAACTAATATTTTAAACAGCAGTAAATCTAGGTTAGTATTGGGTACCAAATGGGTTCTTTAATTTTGAAAAATCTATCGGTTACTATACATCATCTGAAAGAGCTTCGTCTTCTGAGCACAACGATATTTTTTCGATCCCATTTACCTCCATCTCGATTTGTAAATCAAGATTTAAAGCAAAATAATCACTTCACTGTTTGACGCAAAACTCACAAATTGACAGCTCGCTCCCATACATAGTGCCATCGAGGGGCGCTAAGATGGTGATTTTAGTTAATGTAACCACACTGATTTAAAATGGTTCCAGTGCTTCAAAATTGATGAAATTTTGGATTTCAGTTCCAATTCACAAGCAGATTACGAATATGCAATTACCACAATACCCCTAAAGAACCCAATTACGCGTAGTGGGCTCGAGAACCCAATTACGCGTAGTGGGTAACAATTTCGATTGGAAGGATCTAGGTAGGAAACAGGTTTCTGAAGCCTCCTTCAGATACTACTCTCGAACGGTTGTCCAGGGGCAACTAGCACAGAAACAGGTGGATAATAAGACTGGGACACAATGGCTGAAAAATGAGTGAAAAGGAGGGGATGGTCACATCAAACTCTAACATCAGACAATCAAAGGAATTCGTAGATCGCCTGCATGTAGGGAAGATCACGGGTTCCCAACACATCTCTTACTTCACGGAAGGGTTGTCTACCTCGGGCCACTAGGGTATCCAATAGTTCAATGCCAAACTGCGTGATCGATGTTATCATAACCGGTTCTGCACCTACATATATTGCTGTCAACCTCTTCTGTAGAGATGTGCGTCTAGCGAGCAGTGCACACTGGGCCAGGAACCGAAATTAGCAAGACAAAACCTCTAGCGCATTGGGTTTGCATTATATTGAAATGGTGTCTTTGGCAAAGTTTCTTGGTTTAACATGCGCCTTCATCTGGCAGTGGAAATTAGTTCCAATTTTCTCCGCATAGATGGTGCTGCTATACTAACTTTCTTATTTTACATGCTAGAGGTTTTATGTCTTCGGCAAAATTGTAGAACATTAAAAAATATAAAAAAATGCCGAAGGACTCAAAGTTCTAGGTCTTCAAATAACAAAGATATAGTGAACATTGTAAAACTTAACTGAAATTTACGTTTTTTTACTAGTTTCCATACAAACGACAAATCCTTAATTTTTAACGCCGTTTATCTTTTAAGTCGGATAATTTGCAAGTTTTAAGGAAGAGTTCCCAATGTTTTGGGTCGATACAATCGAAATATTAGCCAAAATAGTGAAAATTACCATGATTTTTATAATCTGGTTTCTCGAAAAGTAGCAAGTTTTAGCAAAAAGTCATTTACTTTCCGAAATGTACCATTTATCATCAATCAAAGGTGAAAGCTTACCGGACATATAATTTTATATATTTGAGATATCTGAATTCATAGACTACAATGTTTATTCAAGCAGCGTTCGCCAACGCACGGCTTGCTGGCTGCATGCGATGGAAACGATGGAATATGTCTCTTATGCTTCGCTAGCTGCACGTTGGGGAACGCTGTACTTATGTATGCACAAAGCTTTTTCATGTTCATGTTCATTCTCGAACATGTAATAGAAATGATGGCAACACCGCCAGAAGATTATTTCAGAATC